TAGGTTCCAAGGTTCAAAACATTTGGGTCAAAATCAAGTTCTACTCTTAATGGAGCTGAGCTCTGTTCCCTTCTGACTTACCTTCATTAACCGTGAAAACCAAAGGCTCCTGAGGTGGTCACTTCCATGCACTGTGGTAAGACTACACCCAGAATTAAGACCAAGACACAGAGATGGTAAAGTCCGTGACCGATGGCGCAGGACCACTCTCCGAACGCCTTCTGAATGAACTACATTGGAGACAACCACCTCTGCGTTAAGAGTCAGCCTCTATCAACCGTCTCACAAATGAAGAGACAGGAGGCCAGTGTGAGCACTGTTGAAAAGAAGTCTTTTCCACTTAAGCACTGAACTGAATGAAGGAAAATCCTGCTTGTAATTGGTGGCTTCTTTTTAATTAACTGGGCCGATTTAGCCTAGTTAATTCAAATTAATTAACTTGAATTTTAAAGTATCGTTATCTCTAACATAGAGAAACTTGCAACAGGAATTCCTGGCTGGCCCTTTTGGCCCTTAAGAAACATCCCATCCGCTTTCCACTATTCTCTCTTCCCCTCCAGAAAAATAAATGGACTTGCTGTTTACAACCTCCTCTGGAAACTTTAAAGTGATTGATTTGACTTTGCTTACAATTCCAACATTTTCAAACCCTCTGCCTTTGATCAGTTATAGAAATAAAGGCTAAATGTCAATCTAAAACTAGAAATAAAGGTTTCTCCCCACGCCTCTCCGAGCCTATCTGTAGAAGGAAAGAACAATTTGGTCCAATCCCACTGGCAGCAAGCAATTCAGGGAATCTCGCACTTGCAGAAGTGCAAGGTCACGGAATGGCTGAAGTGGCTGACGGCACAGGACCCAGTTAGACTAATAGAAACCTGGGTCCCAAGTGTTTGTTTCTTCAAGAGTGACCTAACCACCCAGAATTTATCATCCTTTCTGGTTGGGATGGGAAATAAGCCAGTCATTTCAGGCCATGAGTCACGGAGTTCAAAAAAGAAGAAATTCCTATTGTTACATACTTTTATAAATGTTTAAAAAGCAACAGAACAGCTGCTACTGTCGGTAACCCACACAGAAAATACACACATGCACACACACTCCCCAACGCATGTGCGGGCCCTGCCACGACACATGGTGCTACACTGGTACTTGCTCTTCTTCCGGCTCTAAGGGTGTGCTTTCCTGGAGGAACAGAGAGCAGCACGGGCAAAGGAGGTGTGCAAGGTAACTTCCTTTTTAAAAAAAAATATTTATTTACTTATTTATTTATTTGGCTGCGCCGGGTCTCAGTTGCGGCACGCGGGATCTTTTAGTTGCAGCATGTGGGATCTAGTTCCCTGACCAGGGATCGAACCCAGGCCCCCTGCATTGGGATCGTGCAGTCTTAGCCACTGGACCGCCAGGGAAGTCCCGGGAGGCAACTTCTAAGATGGTCCCCAAGAGCCTCACTTCTTGGTATTCACTCCCTGTAATCTCCTCCCCTTGACTATGGCCTGGACTTCGTGACTTGCTTCTCATCAAGAGAACGTGGCAAGGGTGATGGGCTGTCACTCTGGTGCTCAGATTACCAAAGATGAAGGCTTCCAACTTGGTAGCAGCTCTCTCCTTTGCTGGCTCTGATGGAGCAAGCAACCTCTGATGTTGTTGAGGCCCAGTGGCAAGGTACTGAGGGAAGCCTCTAGCCAACGGCCAGTAAAGAACGGTGGCCCTCCTTCCAACAGCTCTTGAGGAACTGAATTCTGCTAACAACCACACAAGCTTGAAAGCAGATCCTTACCCAGTGAAGCCTTCGGATGAGGCCCTGCCCTGGTGACACATTGACTGCAACCTTGGGAGAGACCCGGAAGTAGAGGATCCAGGAAAGCTATGTCAGGTGCCGACCCACAGAAGACAGTGTGAGATAGTGTGTTGTTTTAAGCAGCCAAGTTTCTGGGTGATTTGTTACGCAGCAGTAGATGACAAATACAGTAGGCAACCCCACGACTGGGTCAGCTTCCTGATGAGGCTGTCACCATGGCAACCTGCCCTTCTCCTTGGTACCATCACATGCATCATGAGAGTCAATGTGTCGCTTTCCTGACAAAGTACAGCTCCTGGAGGACAGGCACCTACACATGTCTGCTCGGCACCAAGCATGGTGCCCAGCATGTGACTGGGAATCGATGACCATTTTAACTGATGATCTCTTTCTGTTAAGTGAGCACCAGGAAGTTAAGAACCTTCAGTTTCTGGTATAAATAGAGTATCTGTTCCTTTAAAAAAAAAAAAAAAAAGGAAACAAGAGGACACCATCTTGGGCCCAAGAGCCTTCTAAAAGGGGGATTTTGGGCTGGGGTCTGAGAGGAGAGTCAGGCAGGTCCAGCTCCCCACTCAGTGCCTGAACCCAGGCAGCACGACGACCCTACCTATTAAAAGCTCGCCTTTATGGTGCGTGTGTCCTCAGAGGTGGACTCAGGTCTGTGGGGAGAAAGGGACACACTCAGGGAAGCTGGCCCCGCTCTCCAAGAGAACACGCGGTCCTTCCCTTCGTGCTCTCCGTTCTCCCTACTCAGAACGCTCCTTCCCCTTGACCACCTTGCTACTCTGTTCACTTGGCAAACTCTTACTCAGCCCTCAAAACCCCGCCTGGCCTCAGCTCCTCCAGAATGGCCTTTCTGGACCCCCGACTAGGAGCTCCTTCCCTCTTCGGTGCCACACTTCGCCCTCCGTCCCCACCCAGGCTGAACCGCAGACGGTAACGACCATGGCCACGCCTGTGAGCACCCCATCCCCAACGCTCCCACCTCTGTGCCCAGGGAGTGACAGAGGCTGAAGTTTCACCCTCTTGGCCCTCTGGAGTCAAGGCAGTGTGACCTCCCACAGAAGGAGGAACAGGGAGATGTGACAGGAAGACACTGGACGAGCAGCGAGCACCCCCGAGAGAGAATGTTCCGGCCTCGTGAACTGCAGCAGGGGCGGCCCGGGGGCGGGGGGCGGGGGCATGGCAGAGCAGCTGTGAAAACACCTCAGTGGGCAGCGTGGGGTCACTTAATCACCAGGCCTTTCAAGGCTGACGGTTATGTAATCTTGTCCACACAAGAATATGACTGGTTTGTGTCAAGTGTTCTCAAGCCGTGGGGGACCAGCCCACGCTCTGAGCAGAAGGGTCAAATTCCTGCCTCCCGAGGTATGGGAACTAGCAGGCAGGACATGGCAAGCTGCTCCGAGGTCAGGGCTGCCTCCTTAGCAGAGCGGATGGATTCCCGAGGCTGAAGGAGGTGCAGCATCGAGACAGGCCCCATGGTGCGACACAGGAGGGCTGCAGGGGTGGAGACGGAGCAAGGGCCATCCAGCTCTCTGACCAGATGACTGTGGTGCCCGGGGGCCATTCGGAGACGCCACGATGGGGACAAGGAGGTAAATCAACAATTCGAAATGAAAGAAGCAAGATGTAAGACTGCATATTCACACAGCTGCACACCACACGCGCGCGCACACACACACACTACACTTATCTACAAAGATACGTACTTTGGAAGAAACTAAGCAAAATAAAAATAATGACTATCTGGGTGGGAGATTATAGGTGTTTTTAAAATTGTCATCATCGGCAAGGCTACGGGGCCAGGAATGTATGCCATCCAAGGAAGGAACTGGGGGTTCCCTAGTGTCCTAGGGCTGCTGTAACACTACCGCAAACTTGTGGCTTATTACAGCAGGAATTTATTCTCTCACAGTTCTGAAAGCCAGAAGTCTGAAATCCAGGTGTCAGCAGGGCCGGTTCGCTCTGGGGCTTCTGAGGAGAATCTGTTCTGGGCCTGTGTCCCACTGCTGGGGCTGCCGGCCTCCCCAGGCGGGCTCGGCTTCTGGCAGAATCACTCCAACCTCTGCCTGCAGCCTCACATGTGTCCTCCCTGTGTCTGCAAGTCTCGGTGTCCAAATGTTCTCTTCTCATAAGGACACCAGCTCTTGGATCAGGGCCCACCCTCATCCAGTGTGACCTCATCTTAACCTGAGTCCGTCAGCAAAGACCCTATTTCCAAACAAGGTCACATTCACATACATCTTTGTGGGCAAGGGTGTCATTAATTAATGAAACCCATAACAAGAGGCATTTAGCTCAAAGGAAAATAAGACACAGGGCTGTGGCCGCCGTCTTCAATATCCGGCAGGCTCTTCCATTTAGGATTAGACGTGGGCTGCGTAGGGAAGAAATGGGTCCGAAGTGTCGATGCTCCCAAAAGACAGACTTGGGCTCAAAACAGAAGGATGCTCTCTCAGAGCTGTCTGAGCAGGACTGGCCATTCTGGGTGGGGAACTCCTGGACCATACTGGAGCCTCTTATCTCTGGTGTAGGGGTACTGGCCGGGGCGGGGGCGGGGGGCAGGGGTGGACTAAATGATTTTAAAGTCCTGGCAGCCCTAAGACTCTGCCATCCGCACAGGCGTCGTCAGTGACCTCAGCATCACCCAGTGCCAGCCTGGCCACCCTCAGACAACCCTCGGTTCAATACCGTGCTAGCCTGGCCCCATCTGCACCGGGCACCTCCTGCCCTCTACAACAAAGCAGCTCTGTCTGTCGTTTTCTGCCTTTCGGTGTCTCAAAGAAAGGTGGAGCTTGCACATTCAGAGCCAACAGGATAAAGGCATCACTCAAGTCGGGAGACAAGGAATTCTAGGAGTTAAACCCTGCGGAGAGCTTCGATATCCCCAATTCTAAGGGCATTTTTCATGGCCGGACATCACCCAAGGGGCATGTCCCGAGGTCAGACCGGCCGAGGCCGCAGGCCCACAGACCAGGGTCAAAATGGCTAAGGAAAAAATCCTCGGTTTATTTAGATGCAGTGAAGATTGCCCCAAGAATAATGTTTACATAAGAAACAGCAGTAACATTGCAAGTTAAGCTTGTTTATTTTAAAAAAAAAAAAGCAGCAGCAGCAAAATCTTGTTTCTGATGAGAAAGAAGACTGTTCTTCAGAACTGCCTTTTCTTTTCCCAGAACGAAAAATCTACACTGCTCACCTCTCCACAGGGTCCCTCAGCATGACGATCAGTTTCGCGTCTGGCTGAAAGGCGTGGATGAAGTCCTGGGTCAGAAAGGGGGGCTCGCCATCCGTGCTGTTGTCGTAGAAGAACGTCCAGGCGTTGTTATCCCACATGGTGGAGGCGCTGGCCTCCCCTGGAAACGGAAAACGAGTGAGCAGTGCTGAGTTACGGGCTCCCACAGAGCGGCCTGAATTAGGGGCCAAACCTGGCTGTGATACCTTCTTAAATAGGCGTTAGCGGGTGAGCTGGTCTGCCACGCTGGCAGACGGGACTCCGGGAGAAGGAGGCTGATGACCACCCCCTCCCCTCTGTGACCTCCATCTGGAGATCGAGGTGACCCACGCAACACTGAGCACCCCTCTTCCTCCCAGCTCCCCTCTCCAGGATGTGCCAAAAAACCTCTACTAGCATCTGGCCTCCCAATTTCACGATGTTTAACTTGCTAACGGTGCATAGCCCTGTGGCATTTTAAGGGCCCACTGAGACTGTACTAGATGGTTCCCTTCAGAAAGTATCAGGGATGAAGGAGAAGTTCGGGGATCCGAACTTCTGGGTTAATCATTTTGCTCCTTGAAATTGCTGTGGCGGCCTTTTTCACTGATCATTTACTTTTCTCCCTCTCAATGACAGTTATTGCTTCCGGCATTGTTTTTATCCTCATTTCTCATTAGGAAACTGCACGCAATCTGCATCAATCTTCCCTTGAAATCACAAGGGTCGGTCCCAGTGCACATTCTAAGACCAAACGAGAGGAAGGCTTTGCGGGAAGGCTCATGCGACCTCGGTCCTGCGTGCCCATCCACCCCGTCACCCTGCACACAGGTGGCATTCACTCAGTGCTGACTGCGTGAGCAGGAAGCTGGTTCTAGCCCCTGTTTGATCACAGTCTGTGTGAATGAAGCATGATAACGTTAAACACACATTCTAGGACAGGGGAAAGGACAAGACACAGACATTTCAACATTTCTATCTCAGATAACTGAACCAATTCCCTGACTTTTTTTTTTCAGGACCATCTTCAGAGACTTAGAAAGAAAACAAATCAATCAATTAATTATACCCTCGATTTCCCAACACTTTACATGGGATTGTATGATACATCTCCAAGTCACTTATTCAGTGAAAATCTGAGCCAAAAGACTAAGTCTCTTTGATCAGTGATGAGCACATCACGTCATGCAGAGTGTTAGCAGGGCCCAATTTATTCTGCTGGATGTGCAATCATGTCCAGGTGAGCATTACTATTCTGATCTTCATTTCTATTTTTTTTAAGAGATAATACCACAGAATACAGAAAAAACAAGTCAATCAGAAGTCCTTTGAAAATTCTACTCACAATGAATAAGGGAATATTAGGACAAGGGAAGTATCTAAAACTTAGTTGGCACAAATTCTGTCAGTCCCATAAATGAACTGGTTCTATGCTTGTCCATCCACCCATCCATCTATCCATCCGTCCTTCATTCATCCATCATCCATCCAGGCAGAAAGCTCTGATTTGGTGTCTAATATGTGCCCGGCACTATGCTTGGCACTGGGGATAGATGCAGGAAACAAGACAGACCCTTCCCTCTCGAACCTCATAATCTAGGGGAAGATCAATAATTCAATAAACAATCAGAGCCCCACGTGAGCACTTTGACAGGGCAGAGCCGGGTGGCCATGAGAGCAGAGGCAGGGGCCTTTCTCTGCACTGGGGAAAGGTTCTCTGGCCTTTCCCCAGCCCAAAGAACCCAGCCACTTGAGTCCTTCATGACTCCAGCCATTAGCCCAGACCATTGAGAAAAGGCCCTCTCTGACCCATCAGCCAAGATGAAAAAAGACCAGTATGCTTCTACCAAGGATCTAACGAAAGAACTGAAGCAGAGTTCAATCACATTTCAGGGCTGGGAAGAGCCCAGAACTGATCTGGCCCAACAAGCCCATTTTACAGATGAGCAGACTGAGTTCACGAACACAAAGACCGATGTGTCACATGGCACAGAGCTGGCTGGTGGCGCGATCAGAGCTGGATGCCAGCTTTCCATCTACCGTAAAATTCAATAAACTCTGCTTCAAGTGAACATCAGAGCTGTAGATATATTCCTTAGTTTTCATTTCTAAATCCAGAAGTAAATAAAATTAGGAAACCAAACTGAAGCCTTCCTTTTTCATTCATTATCTTAGGCTCTATTTCTGGACCCTAGGATGCATATTTTTAGCTCTTTCCTAAGAACATGAGATTTTCCCAGAGGCATATGGTATGGGAGTCACAGTCAAATATTAATTAAGATTTGTAATTTGAGGTGTTAGAACTCAAGGCTGCAAGAAAACAGCTAGTAGCCAGTTCACACTGGGTGAGAGGGTGTGATCTCAACTGGCTCCTAGGACCCGATTTCTTTGAGTTAAAAATAAATAAATAAATTGGGGCTTAGGCGTGTAAGCCTGTCCCCCTGGATATGGGAGTCAAGTAAACATCCATCTTTCAAATGGTTGATTCCAATTCCTTTTAGTCACTAATAGAGTCACCGAATTTAGAGAATCAAAACATAACAGATTTAGGAGAATAAAAAAATAGATCACTGCCTCAGGTAATCAATTTAAGCAAAATATGTGATTCAATTTCTCCCTTTCAGAGGTGTAAGTGGATAAATGTCTTCTCCTAAGCTGAATCCAATAGAGTGAATAGATATGTTTTTTATAAAACACTCTTGTGAATTTTTTTAAATGACTATTAATCAAACCACCTCATTTTGAATGTCTACAGGCATCAGCTTGACAAGGCCTAAGCTTTTTCAACAGCAGTTAGTCACCCACGATGCAACAGGGCGGCGTCTGTTTCAGGAGAGGCCACCTCCGTCTTTGCAGGGTCCCAGCGGCCAGGGAGTACAAAAGCCACAAGAATTAAACTGATGACTAACTGGTTCATTTTACATTCATGATTCCCCAACCAAACGTACTCAGGTGGGTGTATCATGAAAAGAAATCAAGCGTGCAAGCTTAATTCAAGTAAACGCAAAGAAATGGCAACTTTTCCAAAAAGCCAGTTCCGGTGTGCTTGAGTCTCCACAGAACTAGAGTCTACTAAACATTTCTGCTTTATTGAAGTTGCACGAGCACTATGAACCTTTTACACGGGGGTGAGAGTGATGGCTAGCGGGGAAGTGCATGCACGGCAGCTGCCAGCAGCCATCCTGCAAATGCTCGCAGGTGCAGTGAAGCCCGGCCTGGCCCGGGGCAGAAGCAGGGGGGCCCTCGCGGGAGTTACACGGACGCCATACCGATAATGATTCTATTCATCTTGCTCTGTTCCTTGGCAGAGCTGGCCTGCAGTCCTTGATGAATCTGGTGTGCAGCCAGGTCAAAGAGGTCCAGATAATCTTCCACGGGATAGCGGTCCCGCAGACCATCTCTCAGGCGGACGATTCCTACAAGAACCAGGAAGCAGGAGTTAGGACAAAGCTGCCACGGCTGGGCTGATGGCTTCTGGGGAGTGACCACAGGGGATGGAAAGGTCCAAGGGCCCAGCTGCAGCAGCCAAGGCTCAGCCCGAGGAGCTGCAAGAGAGGGAGGGGCGTCTGTGAATGGGCCATGATCCTTTAACTCACGTGCACTTCGAGGGGTGGAATGCACCACCATTAAGCTGCACGGTAGCCACTGAAAGGCTGGCAGGCCTGTTCAAGAACTAGAATAGAGTCTACTCGGAGGGACAGAGAGTTTGGGGCCGGTTAACACGTGCACCAGGTGAGGCCCCCCCAGGGGCGGGGCAGCAGCGGTGTCAGGATACACACACTGGATCAAAAGAAAAGGCAGCCCATCGGAGGGGCGGCATCCTTTGAAGCTCAGATGAGCCTTCTACACCAGGGCCGAACAGCATCTTCCTGAGGTTCTATTCCATCAAGCAGTCTGTCCACCTGTCCAAACAATAAGGGGAATCGACGGTCCCCGGACGGACACCTGGGTTATTCTGGCATCAGCCACATGCAGCCTAAATTCTGCCCTTGCCTCTGAAGTGGGTACATTTCACTTGAAAATGTACTGACAACACACTGCCCTAAACCACAGCCACCAAGGTTAATGGAAAGTGGAGAGAGAGCATCCAGGGGCAAAACAGCAAGAGGTTCAAGGTGACACTGGAGCCCAGACTCCAGAGGCCCACATGCCCCTGTGCCTCTCTCTCCTCTGCCAGTGGGAACCTGGTTTGCACGGGGGAAAATGGTGAGCTGCGTAGGGGAGGCCGCTCTTCAGACGAGTAGAGAAACCCTGGCTCCCACAGCTGCCGCCGCCAAGCACAAAAGACACATGTACGCTTCTGTTCACTCCAGGAGGAACAGCAAAGGAATTAAGTCAAACGTTTGTCGGGAAACACATTAAGAGTTGGTCTCAACTTAGGCTGTACTACGGAAAACGTTCAAAATTCCCTTCCAAGCAACCTAGGTCCTTTGCACGGAAACCACCCTCGACGGCTTCCCGAACTTTGGCGTTTGTCATCCCTTACCTCCAGTGACCAAACATCTCCTGGCATAAGGGAAAAGGTTAAGGAGAGGAAACAGTGACCCAAGGGCGGATGGGTGGCTCGAGCAGAAGGCAGCCTGCATGCCAACCCCGCGGGAAAGGGGTGGGGTGCTGTGAGCAGGGTCTCCCAGAATTATCTCCCTGGGGCTTTCATTCTGACCCTGCGAAGCCGAAGGGTCAGGTCAGAGAAAAGAAGCCCGAAGCAGCTTAATGACAGGCTCAGGGCCCTGGGATGAACCGGCAGGAAGCGGAAGCCCCGCTCATGCAGCCGTCTTTCTCTCTCCTGCCACCTCCGGGGGTGGGCATGTGGGTGCCGGGCTCCAGCAGGAACAGCACGGAGCTGGGAGCTGGATGCACAGCCCCCGACAGACGTCCACGCGGCCAGCACTCACCACTCCCGGGTGCTGCGTGTGCCCTTCCGAACAAGAAGAGCTGCTGATCCTGACCCCTCGCCCTAGCCCTCCCCACCGCCAGGGCTGCATACATGCTCACCGGGTGGTCGGGAGCTGGGTGCTCGGTCCTGCTGGAGGTCTGCGTGGGGATCCCTAAACCAGAGAATTGTCAGATCTCTGCATCTTGGCATGTTTTCTCATCTCCCCGCCCTGCATCCCTCCTGGGGCCTTGCACAGCCCTGCTCGGGTGAGTCTCAGGGCTCCCGCGCCAACCCTGACCATGACCCCGAACCTGACGGTGACCCCTGATCCCGCCCCCGACGTGCGTGTAAGGAGCGACTGGATGAAGAGGCAGATGCACTGGGCTTGGTGAGAGACCCCCACGTGCACCGTCACCACGGGGACCGGGGACCGCGCTGGCACGCACCGAAGCGCTTCCGGGTCCACCAGTGCGGCTCCTTGATGGCGGAGAACTTCACTTCCGGGTGCAGCCGCAGGCGGTCGTAGAGGTCGGTGGTGCCGCACTTGGGCTGCCCGATGATGTAGAAGTGCGGCAGGCAGCGGAGGCGGAAGTGCTTGCCGTGCGCGTGGGACAGGTGGCCCCAGAAGGCCTTGCGCAGGGCGTCGAAGGTGGAGCGGAAGCGCTTGGAGTAGAGCACGTAGGAGTTGGTCAGATAGGGGTCGGTGGTGTTCCTCCCCGTGAACTCCTCGTACCAACAGGGGCTCTTACTGTTGGGGAGGAATTTGTGCGGGATGACTGAAAACATCTGCGGTCAAAAAGACAAAAAGGGGGAGAGACGCACCGAGGGGAAAACATTAGCACAAGCACATTCTGTCCACAGTATGATCCTGTCCTGAGACTTATTCCAGCGTTCACATTGGAACTATTATTGGCTGATGACTAAATACTAAAACAAAGCAAAACTTGGTAAACAGCCAATGACCATGCATTTCCTTAACCCCAAATAAAAATAAAATTTGGAGAGAATGAAAATAAAAGTTCAATCAAACTCCATTCTACCATGATTTACCTTGCACACACACACGCACACACACACGGCAATCTAACTAAACTAAAGAGTTGGAACTTTTGACTATGTAGCTGGATATTTAAATGGCCGTTAGAGGCAAACACTGTGATTAGGACAGACTAGAAACAAGATGACGGTAATCTACAAAAGCAACTTTAACTGCCAGGGCCACATTTCAAGCAAAAAGTCCCGGAAAGGAATTATTAGGAGGGGCGTCCTTCAACATTGCTTGCTGCGCCATTCAGTACAGAATTCCCTTCTCTGGGCTAACTGCGTGGACACGGACCTCCCAGTGAGCTCTCATCCATAAGGCTGTCAAATTACCATTGCTACACTTGAGAAAGTTTTGGTCATTTTCTTCCCAAAGGTGGTGACAGGAAAGGAAGCAGCAATTTTTTAAAAATCAGTCCACAGAAATGAGTACCAGGCTACTCACGTGCAATTCCTGCTTCTTGAGATCTTCCACGTCTGGGAGCTGTCTGGTTGTGAACTCAATCCTGGCTGTGATGCTGCTGATAATTAATTTAATGCTTGGATCGTCCTTCACGTACGAAATATTATTTACAGAGGGTTGGTGATGATGCTCTTTTGTGTCACTCGGATTTTCACCATCCATCAAGCTGGGATTGCTGGGGAGGGCTCCGTAATGGAAAGGTGATGAGATCAGAAGCTCTTGGTGGACCCCAGAAAGGATGTAAGAAGCCATCACCAACGTCATTATTATCAATCCAAATACGAGGCTGCATCGCTTCCCCTTCTTGAAGCGCAAAAACCCACTCCAGCTCTCATTCCCTTCAGCCCTCACTTCGAGAACGGCAAGCAAGTTCATCTGCTTACCGTCCACTCGAAACACAATTTTGTTTTCTCCTTTGCACATGGGGCACTCCTGGCGACTGTGATGGGGGCCTCCTCGGCAGCTGACCTGCTGTGTGTGTGCTTCGTCGGGCAACAGCTGGATGCAGCAGTTCATGCAGTGCCTCATCGTAATGCCCTTGGGCTGCTGGCCCGCCGAGCCATGGGCGAGTCCCCAGGGAGTCCGGATGCCTGCAAGTCGTGCTGGAAAACTTCAAGGACGTCTCGTGATCACATACAATGGTTGAAAGACACAAGCAACAGAAACAAATATAAAAATGATCAGGCGCTAAAACACCAGAGAATGAGGAAGCGTGTTCTTTGGTTCGACTCCGAAAGACAACACGAATGATCTCCAATTGTCATGGTCTGTAAGAGCCATTGCAATCCTGGAAAAAGCCACAAGGTCGGGAGCAATTCTTCCTGTCCTTCAGGTTTTTCCCATGGCACCAAATGAAGTGGAGGAGTTCTCACTGGAGAACATGGGAACACCCAAGGGATTAGAAGATCTCATGGCCTCAATGAAGGATGGACTGGCGCACCACCCACACAGAGTCCATGAAGATTTCTTCTTTTACAGCCTGTGTTCCTTTGAAATGTTTCCTCTTCAAAACCTTTAAGATGTCAGATTGCCTAAACAACAGAGAAAAGAGGTTGTATTACATTATGTGATGATAGCAATAACCCTGGGACCATCTTCCAAGGAGAGACGTTCATGCTTCTTTTCCACTTCTCAATTTTGGCCAAGCTGACTGGGTCACAAGCAAGTTAATCATATAGGATATATGAAAATCATATAGGATAAAGGGAGAGGTTTCGGGTCTTTGGTGCTTGGCTTTGGAGTTCAGTCTCTGCCTCCAAATGTGGCCCCAACACCAGCGCCACCAGCACCATATTAAACACCTCCTACTTTACACAACCCACATATTCTGTTATGCCTTTGCCTTGACACATCTAAGTGACTGGATCCCCCTGTCCCAGGACTTGCAGTCATTCTCAGATTCATGCACAGTCAGACTATGAATTTGAGGGATGAATTGAAATATCAGTGCTGTTAAGTCAACAAAAAATCCAAGAAGGAGGATGTTTAGGGTGGGAGCAGGCAGAGAAAATGGTTTTTACTCTCCCAGTAGCACCAATAGTCTCTTAACCTAGAGCTAACATTTATTACTAGCTTAGGACGCAAAAGTTAATGAAAATTTAGAAACACTGAAATGATTTTCTCCTTCAGTAGAATGTATCATATTAAAAAATTTTTTTGACTTTAAGTAATTAAGCAATTAAATCCAACGTGCAGTATTCCCCTGAGCAACAGAACACTTTAGACCCTAAAACAATTTTTCACTTTCATCATCCTGGGGAAAACATGACTCTTCAAAATCCATTAACAGAATCCTGCGGTTATAAAATGTATTGTTGCCCAAATGACACCTCTTTGTGGATGTTGTAAAAAGAGCGAAGAAGGAGACCTACTTAGTTTGCAGCAGTGGTATAACAATGCTAACCAGCTAGCTATGTGACCTTGAGCCAGCCACATAACCCCTCTGAGCTCTGGTTTCCTCACCAGTCAAATTAGGATAAAAAGTACCTCCCTTTCAAGTGTGTAACAAGTAGTATATCAGCTAATGCACGTGAAGACTTTGCATAATGCCTACACATATTGAGCATCCCATAAAAGGTAGATAATAATAGCATCATCAATGACTATTACTCTTATTTTTTAATTGTCAATGAATGCCAAGAACATCTGAAGTGAATCAAGGATGGGTAATCCCATCCCGTTATTTTTCCTTAGCACCTCAGAATCACCCAGGGGTGGCAGACTCACCTCCAATTCTGCATACACACACCCCTCCAACAATCCTAGAGAAGGTGATATTAACTTACCCTGCGTTAAGCCCCCTCTCCCGTTGGCTGAAAGGCTGAACAATCAGAACTCACCAGCAGAAATATTCCCTCCCCTTGGACCAAAAGGCCCATGTTTTGTCAAAACACAATGACCAAAAAATAGCCAAGCAGTTTCCTAAAACATCTTCCACAAAATGTCCTGCGTGTTGTCCATAGGTCAGTGCTTAAATTACCTGGAGAAAAGGTGAGATGGACCAAACTACACAGACTTCTTTAGAGTAGGATTTTTCACAGGAGAAGAATATAATACACAACGTTTCCAAAACATAACTGGCCAAAGAACTCTCACTACTGTCTCAAGGAAGCAGTTTGAGGAATGCTAGCGAGCAAAGGCTGAGATACGGGTCAGAGCAGTTCTGAGAAGTGCAGAGGAGCAGGGGCTGTGGGAGGGTTCGGCTGGAACCAGGCCAGTGCCTCGGGCCGCCACCCACTCATCCCAGAGAGCAGTGGGAGGACGTGCCGGGAACCTCAAGGCTCAAACCTCTGCCCCCAACTTGTTCAACCACCCCTGACCCATCACTGGGTACAAACAATTCTCCCCAACAGGAGAAACAACAGGGCAAGCTCCCCTACTTGGAAACCCACTCACTAGGCCAAGAAAACATTTTTCACACGCCAAAAACAAGGCCACATGGGGTTAAAATAAGGCTCCAACCAGCATCGCAGCGGGGAGCCGGTCGCACCCTTCTGTCTCTCTGGCTACAGGAGGCCTAATTCAATTTTTTTCCAAACATGGTCTTTGAAGCTCCAAGACAAGAATGTACAAAATCTGGACCCAACAGGATGGGCAAAACATTCCTCAACAAGAACAAAGGTTTCCTTTGACAAGCAAAATAAACAAATAGACCTGAGTAGGCAGAGACGCGGACTGTCTCAACCGAGAGGCCTGGGACGTGGTGAGCCAGAGGATTTGTCCCCTGGGCAGGCTGCACCCTCCAGCCAGACCTCCCACTCCACGTCTCACTTTTTTTTTTTTAACATCTTTATTGGAGTATAATTGCTTTACAATGGTGTGTTTCTGCTTTATAACAAAGTGAATCAGTTATACATATACATATGTTCCCATATCTCTTGCCTCTTGCGTCTCCCTCCCTCCCACCCTCCCTATCCCACCCCTCTAGGTGGTCACAAAGCACTGAACTGATCTCCCTGTGCTATGCGGCTGCTTCCCACTAGCTATCTATTTTACGTTTGGTAGTGTATACATGTCCATGCCTCTCTCCCGCTTTGTCACAGCTTACCCTTCTCCCTCCCCATATCCTCAAGTCCATTCTCTAGTAGGTCTGTGTCTTTATTCCTTTCTTACCCCTAGGTTCTTCGTCTCACTTTTTAAATGTAAAACGGGGAGCAGAGAACTGGGGAGACAATTCCAGATGCCTTAAGGGCTTCAAAGAAACACTCTCCTCTAATTCATTCATTCCTCCCTTCTGTGATTCACCAGATCCCTTCTGAAGGTAGATTGTGCACTGGGCACTGCCCGAGATGCAAGTCCAGGTGTGGAGGCCTGAAACCAGCATGCGATGGGGGCTGTGATGTCATAAAAAATGCGTATTCGGTCTTTGTCCCCTGTTCCTGGCGCAGAGCTTCTAAAACGCTTGGAACTTCCTGAGTGATAGGGGTGACAGGGACAACACCTTTTGTTATTCATAACAAGCCCCTTTCAACCACACCTCAGTTTATGCTTGTGAGGTGACTATTGCTGGGGCCCCCAGAGAGCTTCAGGATGGGGCTGGTAGCCAGAAAGACCAAACCTTGATTAGAAGCTTGGAACTTTCAGCCCTGCCTCTCCAGCCTCCAGGAAAGGGAGAAGGGCTAGAGATTGAGTTAATCACCAATGGCCAAAGATTTAATCACTCGTGCCTACACAATGGAACCTCCATAAAACCCCCTAAAAGACAGGATTCCGAGAGCTTTCTAGTTGGTGAGCTCATGGCAGTGCTGGGCGGGTGGTGCAGCCAGAGGGGGCGTGTAAGGTCCAAGACCCTCCCCGCAGACTGCCCCGTGTGTCTCCTCCATCTGGCTGTTCTTGTATTATCTCCTTTGTAATAGTCAGTAAGGCACTCTCCTGAGTTCTGTGCATCATTTTGGCAAATTATGGAACCTGAGGAGGGGGCTGTGGGAACCTCTGAATTTGCAACCAATTAGGACAGAAGTGTAGGTAGCCTGGGGACCCAAGACTTGTGACTGTGGCCTGAAGTGGGGGCAGTCTCAGAGGACTGAGCCCTTGACCCGTGAAGTCTGTGCTAATTCCAGGGAGTTACTGTAAGAATTCAACTGAATTGTAGGACACCAGCTGGTGTCTTAAGAGTTGGAGATTTTGCTGGTGTGGGAAAAAACCCCGGGGGTGCTCTCTTGGAGGAAAAAAATGTAAAACTATCTTACACTTACAAATTCCATCAAAACATATGGCCAGCGTATAGCATGTCAAATACTTGATTGAAAACAACAGCCAAGGCTTCCCTGGTGGCGCGGTGGTTGAGAATCCGCCTGCCAATGCAGGAGATGCGGGTTCGAGCCCTGGTCTGGGAAGATCCCACATGCCGCAGAGCAACTAAGCCCATGCACCACAACTACTGAGCCTGTGCTCTTAGAGCCCGTGAGCCACAACGACTAAAGCCCGCACGCCTAGAGACCGTGCTCCGCAACAAGAGAAGCCACTGCAATGAGAAGCCCGCGCTCCGCAGCAAGGACCCGACACAGCCAAGAATAAAAAATAAATAAATAAATTTATTAAATAAATAAGTAAATATAAAAACAACAGCCATATAACCAGGTGAATACATTGCTGTGAGCCTTTGTAAGTGCAGGACCTGGAGCTTGGAGGCTTCCAGGCCACCCTTGTCAGCCTCGACAGCAATGGTGCCAGAGTGACCATGACAGGGAGGGCTTTTCTCCACCAGGAGTTAGGGGCTGCAGGGCAACAGACAATAAAAAGTCACAAATGAATAACACCATCTCAGATGCTAATAAAGGGTAGGAGGAAAATATAAAGGGAGAAAACAAGGAAACCCTTGAACAGGAGCTCTCAATGCCGCACCAGGGCCGGATAATTCTTTGTTGTCAGGGGCTGTTCTGTACACTGTAGGATGTGTAGCGGCATCCCTGGCCTCCAACCCCTGGGAGAGCTGATGCCTTAGAGGAAGGGGAGATAGAGTAGAGAGGATGGCCAGGGAAGACCTAACTCAGGAGGGGACCTCGGAATGATGAGAAGGAAGCCAGCTACGTGGAGATCAGGGAAGTAAAGACCCCATGAAGAAGAGAAGCTGGAGATCAAAGCCCATGGGGACCGCCAGGAGAGCAGACCGCTGGGCTATGCGGCAGGTGCGGGCGGGGGAAACGGATGGGAGAAAAGGCAGGGGCAAGACTCTGGAAGGCTGGGTCAGGGCTAGGATTTGTCCAAACACAAAGAGTATTTGTATTTGCCCAAATTCATAGATGCACACTATGTATGGTTTCAAAAAGATCTTTAAAATAAATATAACTATGAACATAACTCGGTGAAGAAAAATGAAATTCACGTGACTGGACTGAAGGGAAAATGGATTGCTGCTTTCTTCCTGGATTGGCCTTTTCCACATACCACCAATTATCCCAAGAACAGTCATTCCGAAACCTAACACCCAGGTTATTCTTTCTTAAGAAATAAGCAATGGATATCACTGCACTTCACCTGTCTGGAATGTCCACGTTTTGGTGCCAGTGGACTCAGATGAGAGAGGACCCTT